TGCACAGAGGAAGGGTAATGTGTTATCATATCTATATATATTTAGCTTATGCTGCTATAATTTTAATTGGAGTCTATCTTAGTTATCATAAAATATGTTATCAAGGACCTATATGGTGGCTTATAGTTTATAGCAATACTACGACAGATCTACATAACTGGCTATAAACGCTATCTTCAAAATTGCATTGGTAGATGAACTTGTGAGCTTTCAAAACACAAACTATTTTATATCTTGATTTTAAATCTGAACTGAACATGCTTACTGTGTAGCAAACTAAATGTTTGCTGTAGTCTTGGAAAATAACTGAATACATGTGATTGCATGCATGCAACAAATCATAATGGACTATTTTTGTAGGAATCAAAATATTGACGCGAGTTTAATATTAATATACATTTGTAATTTATCTTGCTGGGTTTCTTGTTCATAAGATAAAATAAACAAATAATAAGCGTAAATTTTAATACTTTTTGAGTCTTGTTTGTTGTATTTAATATGTACTAATTACTCCAAACAACTCCATACAAATACAATTAAGTGATATTTGTAGTGGCAAATGACATGCAATGGAAATAGCATGTTTATGGTAAATTTATTTGTACTGTATTTGTAGTCTGTGCATATAACTACAAATAATCCCCCGAATAACTGTAATGTTAATGAATAATGTTTCTTTCTAAAACTTACCGGGAGAAATCGTCCGAGCTAGTCGGTGTATTTATACTACGTACATTCCTAACCTACCTACCTACACCTGTATATGACATCATTCTTACAATGCTACTGATAAATATATTTTAATATTTACCGATAGATGGAGCCAGCGAGCTGGTTTCAACCATTAATATTGAATAGAAGAATAGAATTCTATTCTATTTCTATGGTTTCAACGCGCATCCTCTCGGGAATGCAGCTGCGATAGTTTCAGCTATATTCCCTGGGTTACCTATACTCCCCGGGTTACAGCAACATCTCCCACACCTTACCTGCCCTCGCTATACTAACAGTCGAAGGCGACGGAAATACGAATTCTTTTGGGGAGAATCAGAGTGATATCGCGAATATAAGAATGGGTTATAGAAATCATTCAAAATAAGCCCTGACATCCATCTATTAAAAAGTAATGTAAGAACATAAACGAATAAGGACATTTTCCTTTACTGTGTAATAAAAAACGTTCGTGATACAAAATTGTTGATATATAAGCAGCGTTTATGTACAGATACATCCATTAGTCTACAGACTCTTCGTTATCCGCAGTTCTGTTTTTTCACGTTCATCGCAGAAAGAGAGAAAAAAGACTCACGTGAACTTTGGAGACATAAGACGTAGCACCTATTATGTTTCCACATCTTATCATTTCCATTTTTTAGATTAAAAGAGTCGCAGCTATACAGTACCTTTGCAGAATCATACGTGATTTTGTTTTGGTTTTATTTTCTCAAATAATTCTTTGTTATCACCTGTGTGGTTTTTTCAAACACGTACGTACGCACGCACTCACGCACACACACATGCATATACGCACGCGCGTACACGCACGCACCACGCACGCACGCGCACTTCGGTGTGGAAGTCGAGTCAACCGAATTTTAACATATGGCCACGAGAGCGCTCTGACGGTAAACCGCAGGGCATGAATATTTCATCGAGCACGAACGATAACTTGCATTTTCTCACGTTTGCTCGGCGGCCCCATAAAACACGGGAATAAACTCTCGAAGAAACCCGCAGTATATAACTAAGTACATACTCACTAAATACCCGTACGCATTCCGGGCGAAAATCGAAAGCGAGCCAGCAAGACTGCGAACAGCTCTCTAATTTCTTAACGTATATATTTTACCACCTTGTTAGAATTAATCGCTAACACGAACACTCGTTGCATAACGTCCATTAAACAGTTCGCGCAATGATAGATTGTAGCAAATATGACGTGTTAAGTAGCATTCTATAGTAGTATTAATAAACGCGTGTGTTTAATTGCGCTGTCATGGCCGCTATTCGGTGCGACACTGCTCCAGCTGTTAGCCCCCCCCCCCGCGCCTAACCTCACAATAATGCGCACGTAAGTCGCGCGCGAATACAGCAATCATAACTCAACCCTTCGAGAATTCACACGTGTTACTACTACACCGCAGAGAAAGTGTTCTTCTGTTGAGTTTATGAAATAGAGTTTCTAACGCGGCACCGTTTAGACATGAAGAATGGATGACGACTAATGACGTCATGATGTCGCTACAGGTTCCACGAGTTCGACCGCTCGCCGCGCGCGCGCATGGCCGGATGTTCCCTCATCCACTTCCGGGTCATCTTGCACTTTTTGGGAGAAGTTCTCGTCGCTTTTTTTCCTCCCCTTCGTCTGCACTTCAAACCTGCGCAGCGGAAAGAAGGAATAATTTGACACCTTTATTGACAGTGTATGGCGATTATAATAGGGAGTGGGTAAGGGAGAGGGGAGGAAGCAAACGATGATGATTGGTCAACGAAGATGTGTTAGCAGAAGGGATAACGTTGTACGGAAGAAGAAAGAGAAAAGGAGTGAACGAGAGAGGGGGAAACGCGCAAGAGAGAGAGAGAGAGCGAGAGGGGGCGATGAAGAGAGAGAGAGAGAGAGAGAGAGAGCGCAAGAGAGAGAGAGAGAGAGAGAGAGAGAGC